TTTGTCACGAGCGATGCAGTGCCGGCTTTCTACCGTGCAGTACGAGAGCTCGCGCTGCAACTAGGCGCCCAGTGACGATGACCTGTGCTGCATACTACGCGCGGCAGGACTACCAGAGACAGCAGTGAATGAATTCAAGGCCCACATAGCCACCAGCCCCACACTCCTTGAATCAACAGTGGTATCTCGACACGTCCGAGCGCTAGTTGCAGATAGCTACCAATCGTCGTGGTTCTGGTATCCTGGGGCCTTCTCTGTCGCCATTCCCCTGGCGGGCGCAGTGCCGGGGCAACAACTGGGAGATGTGGTTTTCAATTATGTTATGTCTGCGCGTGTGAAAGAGGCCCAGGCGGGCCTACGTGGACTTGAACTGGACATCAGGACCCCCATTTGCCTCCACAGCAGCCTCGCCAGATGCTCAGAGAGAAACCCGACCGCATTCGGGGTGACCTACACATTTGCTTCTTTGATGACGGAGCTTCCGTGGTGCTGGGGCCCGCGCTGCACCCGATGCAAGTTGCCCCCGAGGTTGTGGAAGTTCTGGCGACCAATGTCGTGCGTCGGGGACTTCGCCTTAACTTCGCTGCAGGGAAGACGGAGGTTCTCTTCCAATTTTTGGGTCCAGGATCCCGCGCGGCAAAACGCAAACTGCGGCGTGAAATGCAAGGGCGCTTCACTTTCGACTCACCTGTGCTGGGTCAATTCCCGCTCCTTGCAGTGCGCAGGCACCCCCGCCTAGGTGCAGAGCTGGACGAGCTCGCGACCAGAGTTGGCGCACAGGGAAGCCTCCACTCAGAGCTCAGGCCAACAGCTGCGACGGCGGATTTTTGCGACAGATCGCACCCTACCCAGGGTAGCGGCGCTGCATCTTACCGATGCACAGCTCTTCTCGGGTTTGCTTTTTAATGCGGGGACGTGGCCCAGATTGACCGACGCGCAGCACGCGCGCACGCACTTGCAGCACATCATGATCAACAAATACCGCCAAGTGTTCCGCCTGCCCCGAGGTAAAGCTGAGGGGCACCCCGAAACTGACACGTATGTCCCGGCCCGTGCGCAACGCGCTACGCTGGCCTCGGTTTTTCGGGTGCGTCGTTTGACGCTTCTTGGGCGTCTGATGCACCACGGTCCTACTACTCTACGGGGACTGGTTGCACATGTGTACTGCGCAGCACAGCAACAGTAGCACACCACATGATTACATCGGGTCCTAGACGACATGGAATGGCTACGCACAGTACATGTGAGATTCACGGACATGTCCGACCCTACGGAACAATTTGAGACATGGGAGCAGCACATTTTGTGCTCACTCGCAGCTTGGCGCAACGCTTTGAACGCCGCCCTAGCTGCCGAGGCCAAGGCGCAAGCACGTGCAGAGTTTGCCAAGAAGGCCTCCGACACTTTTTTCGAGACAGTACGCCAGGCTGAGGTACCGGTGCCCATTACAGACCCAGGGCACCCACTATTTCCTACTCCTGCTCCGACCCCCGACCTACAGTGCATGTGGTGTGTATTTCAGGGTGCATCGGCCGAGAGTCTACGACAGCACATTGCACGTACGCATTACAGTTGTGTCTCGCTACATGGGAGAAGATACCATTTGTATGTCTTGTTCCATCTCCTTCTCCACCCGACGTGCCCTACGCAAACATCTCGCCTTTGATGCACCGAAGTGCTGTTTGGCATACTTTCTTCACGGTGCCACAATCAGCGCAGACAGGGCCGAGGAGCTCTGACAGCTAGAGGTTGACGACTCCGTCGTCAGCAAAAAGCAGGATTAGGGCGTTGGCGCATTGCTTACCCAGCCAGACATGCACCCCCGACTGACGGCCTGTACACAGCTGCGATGCTGGTCGCAGCGCTTTTTGGCGACCAAGAGGCCCGAGATCTCCTGCGCACTCGAAAGGCCTGCTAAGAGCTCTCTACGGAAGCCCATGAACGGTATCAGGCCCTCTTTGTGGACCCCAAGGCTGCCCCATCCCAGGAAGGTCCGCAATATGCCGACCGCTACTGGAGGCATCGCCCACAGGATTATGTAGGCTTCGCTACTTCCGACGTAGCCTGCCGCATCCATCGGACCATCATCTTCGTACGTAGCCCTTTTCTCCGGGAAGCGACGGGAGGGGGATGTACAAGCGTGGATGGACGGGCATCAAGTGTCGACGTGCTGCGAGGTTGTAATGCTCAGCGTGGACATTGCGATTAATTGGGAACTAGGAGACCTCACCCAGCACTAGGAGACCTCACCCAGCACCATTAATTGACACTTGGGCGGAGCACATCCTGGCACGAAGAGTCTGGAGCACTGGTGGTGGGCCCCCCTGCGAAACCTGGAGCGCAGCCCGTTGGCTTGACGGGGGCCCCCCCCTTACGCACTCATCAATGGTTCTGGGGACTGCCCGGGGTCACTGACAGACAACCCCAACAATTGGACGTTGGCAGTGTGTTGTTGTGGAGTATGGTGCACCTTATTGCTTGCCACATGGTTGCAGGCACCAGTGCCTGGACTGAGCATCCGTCGCCTGCGTGGTGGAGGCCCCAGGCGCCCTCTCGTTTCCACTGGGAGCCACTCGACGCCTTGCAGTCGAGTCCAGTGTGCTATACAGTTGACTTGGACCAGTGCGTGCATCATGACAGCAGTCCCGACCATATTGGCAAAGCCCCGACTCGTATCGTTGGCCTCAGGATGCCCACTCTGGCCTCCAAGCTACTCAGTGCAGGGAGACGAGGGAGATGTCATCATCCCAAGGGATCTCACTTGACCCTCGTTGGCAAGACAGCTGGGGGCGCCTTTCGGACCAGCCGAAAAAATACGTACCCTCCCAGCATGTGCAGACACATGCCAGAGGCAGTGGCTGATTCCACTCGTGCCCAGTATGCTACGCTATCCGAATGCGATGCCAACGCAGACGACCATGATCCGACCTTGGTTGACGATCTTTTGGCCTTCCATGCCAGGGACATTGGAAATGATTTCGAGGAGGCCCCCGACTACGCAGGTACCAAGCGAGGATATCGGAACAACAAGCACAGAGTCGATCCTGAAAAACATAGGTTCACGGATCCATTCGAGCCGTGTGGGTGTGGTACCTCTCGGACTCCTGCTCCGACTCCTGCTCCTGAGTGCCCCTACTCCCCGTTTTTCCCAGGGGACCTGAGCGAGGAACTTCCGGTAGAGGTCTTGTTGGGCTCTTTCCCTGCCTCTCCCTCCCCTCCTCCACCTCCCCCTCCTCCGCCCCCTCTCACCGCCGAGCAGCTCGCCCGTATAGCTGCCAACCGGAGGGAGGCCAAGCTCAGGAGGGAGGCCAAGCGAGCTGCTGAACATCGGCAGCGTGCGCCCTGGCAGGGCGCCCTCCACTTCTCCTCCGGCCCCCCCCCCCCCACAGGCGGGCCCCCTTTCTTTTTGCATGTCGCATATTGCAGCATGCGGCAGTCAGAGCTCAGACACCATGTCTCATGCCACCGTGCCACCACCTCCCTCCCTCCTTCCTCCCTCTTCCCTTCCTCCTCCCTCCCCCCTTCCCCGTCCTCCCCCTCCATCCTTCCTCCCTCTTCCCTTCGATACATGGAGGTTGGCCAATTCCGTTCCAGTTTCCTCAATCGTCCGCGCCCCTCCCCTCCCCAACGAAGTGGAGAAATCATGTCCTGACTTCATAGGAAGCGAACCCTGAGTCCAAAGAATTCCAAAGACATCCCCTCCCTCCCGCATCGCCCCTCCCCCACGGCCCCTAGGCCACATGGGGACCGCGACGCTCAGCCACGGCGTCATCCGCCGTGGCGTCCGAGGACGCGGGAGCGGGCGCCACTATCTTTGTAGAGGCCCGAGGGGTGGACGCAGCAGGCTCGCGAGGAGGGGGGGTCGAGGACCAAGATGCTGGGATGAGGGACCGAGGATGGCATCGAGGAGGGAGGAACAATGGGATCGAGGAAGATGATGGATCGAGGTGGAGGAGGAGGATCGAGCAAGAGGAGGACGCATGCAACAAACTCACGAGGATAACCGAGTATCCAACTTATGTTTGTTTTTTGATGTTTTAGGGGCCCCTGTGGACCTCCAGAGACCTCTGGGGGAGGAGCTTGAGGATGTCAGTTAAGCTGCAAATCACTCTCCGCCCCAAGCCCCTCCTCATACGTCGGCGTGGAGACCTGCTACGGGGCATGTCGGTACGACTGCAGGCGCTGCTACGAGACCGTGCCCCTCAGGGAGCCGTGGCGGTTCGCAGGGAGCGCGACCCACCGCCTCGCGCTGGTGGCGATTACTCAGTACCCTGTGCCGCGGGTGGTGCGCCAAATCGCTCTCGCACTGGCGTCTGCCTGTGAACGTCTTGGTGGCTGGATGGGGCTTGGCTGGCAGCTGCGCGCGCTGTGCAGGCCGGGGGCTCAGCGCCGCGAGAGCGACGTGGGATGTGCGAGGGGCGCCGTGACAGCCACTTTCGAAAGGCATTCCATTCTATGCCGCTGTGGCCCCGAGGGTGCAAAGGCTGGAACGCATCGCGTGTATTCCCCTCCTCCTCCACCTCAATTGCACCCCAGCCTTCCTCTCTCCCCTCCGAGGATGACGGAGGCGAGGACCCAGACCTCCGACGCCATGCTTTTTCGCGAGGTAGGTCACCGGATCTCTCCCCCCCAATCGGGTGACCAACTTTCCAATCCCGGCCGTATCAAGTGATGCCCCCCTGGCCAGAGACGGGCCCCCAGGAGGCCGAGACCTCGGAAAAGAAGCGGCCGCTTCGACCCCTTCCGTGGCTGAAACCGAAGGACGGCGGCGGCGGTGGCGATAACGACAGCGGTTACGGCGGCGGCTACGGCGACGGCGGCAACAGCGACCCGATCAATGAAACATCACGCCCGAAGGTCTCCATACTTACGTGCCCCGAAGTTCCAATTCAGAAGGCTTCGAAGTGAACTTTTCGCTGATCATTTCTTGCCATCCTTGTCGTTTCTGTTGACAAGAATTGAAAGACAGCGGTGACGACGGCGGCGACGGAAAGACCGGCCTGCCCACGTGCCTCTGGATAGGGTCCACCACTGCTCCGCCGACTGAGGGCACGTTGGCCTCTGGCGCCGCGCGGCGCTGGCCCGCAGCGGGCGGGCTGGTGGGAGGGGCGGCGGGCGGTGAGGAGGAGTAGGCGAGGGGGGAGGAAGGTAGGAAGGGATGGATGGATGGATGGAGGGAGGGAGGGAGGGAGGAAAGAAGGAGGAGGCGGAGGAGGAGGAGGATGAGGAGGGGGCTCAGTGCGCATAGGGGGGAGAGTGGGAGCGGGAGGGAAAATGGGCGCGAGAGGGAAACAGAAGGGGTGGAGGACGACGGTGATGATGATGCTGATGATGATGATGATGATGGTGACGCTGATGATGACGGTGATGCTGCTGAATATGACAAAGACGATGCTGGTAATGATGATGCTGATGGTGATAAAGATGACGATGACGATGATCGCGCTCTGCTGAGGAGGGGCGGCGCAGTGTCGCGCTCGCCCTCCGCCCCTGCAAGCGGCACCGTGCGCCTCCCTGCACCCAGGGCTGGCCCCTCCCGCGGGCGCGCGCGCCCGCTGCACAGGCGAGGACAGAGCCACCCTGAGCTCAACTGCGCACCAGTACCAGAGGTCCTCGGGCCCCCACCCCCGGGTTTCCATGCGGACACACCCCAAACTGCAAGATGAAACGGCAGCGAGGCGCTAGCCCCACGGCGGCCTAGACAGGCCCCTCGCTCTCCAGCGTGTCGCTGTGCAGCCACATAGACTCGAGCGCTTTCTGAACCTCGAAGCGCTCCAGCTCGGCCTCATCGCCGCCCCCGTCGTCAAGGCCGTCCAACACCCGCTGGGCCTCCCCGTAGATGGCCTCCAGTTAGGAGATTCGGTACATGATCATGCCGCGCTTGGCTGCGCGGGTACCGTCCCGCCTCATGGTGGTTTCGACGCCCTTCGTAGCGTCCTCCAGGCGCTCCCAACAAGTCCACCACGCAAATTGGCAGAGGAAATGGCGTGGCGGAGTCGTCGTCCGCCTCCGCAGCCGCCGCCATGAGCTCCTCCTTGAGCATCGCCTCCACGCCGTGCTCCCCCTGTGTGCTATGGGGGTCACCCGCCAACCACTTCGTGGTGATCTCAGCGCGGGCGCTCCACGTCGCCATGCTGGCGCCGCGCTGACTTCCGAGCTGTAGCTGATCACGTGTGGGCTCCGATTCACCGCCAGTTCCCTCTCGCAACTGCCACTGCGTGCCCGCCACGCCCTGCTTCGCCGCGAGCTCGTGCGTCGCGATCGCGCCATGAGCGCTGAGCTCCTTAACGAGCAAAGGGAAAGGCGGCACCGCTAGTACGGGGTTGTGGCCGTCCACCTCCGTCCCGATCTCGCCGTCGTGCACCGCGTCGGCTCCGGCGGCCCTGGCAGCTTCCGCGGCAGCGACGCCCGCGCCCGCGCGCGGGATGGCCGAGTCGGGTGGGGACTCGGCCAATTTCCGCGCGGGCGGGGCGCCGCCCTCAGCAGGCCTGCCCGAACCAGGGACGTTCACCCCGCCTGCGGCGAGGCCAGCCGCCGACAACGCGGGGCGCGCCACAAGCCTGTGCCCCTTCAGGGCTCGAAGTAGCGAGCACGCCGTCGCCGTCCCTAGCGGCCACGGCGCCAACGCCGCGTGGAGCGCCACGTTCCTTCGCAGCGTGTCGACGGGCGACTCGATGTCCGTGTGCCATGTCCTTTAGGTGCACCGCCACCACCGCCAGGCGTTCCGCCGGGTCGGGATCCCCCAACGACTCTACCAACTTCTCGTAGCGGCCCCGCCAGAAGCGCACCGCCCGCTGCAGGTCGTGGGCGAGCACGTCCCGACCAACAGGCCCACGCCTGGCCAGCTCGGCGCCTGCGCCGCCGTGCCGCACACTGGCTGCACACATCGCTGCCAGCGGCGGCCTCCCGCGAGGGGGCCGCCTCCCGCGCCATCACAAACCGCACCAGCCGCCCGATGGAAGTTGGCCCGAAGGCTTGAGCCAAAATAGCTACGGTTGACGATGACGATAATGATGATGATGGTGATGATGATGATGGTGATGATGATGATGGTGATGGTGATGATGATGATGATGGTGATGATGATGATGGTAATGATGATGAAGAGGAGCAGGATGACGATGATTGGGATGATGACGACGATGGTAATGGCGATGATGATAGTGATGATGATGCTGATGATGACGATGCTGATGATGATGAAGATGATGATGATGGTGAGGACGTTGCTGATGATGATGCTGTCGATGCTGTTGCTGCTGATGATGACGACGCCGCTGCTGTAGATAATGCTGCTGCTGTGATGATCATGATGCTGCTGCTGATGATGCTGCTGCTGATGATGATGATGATGACGTGGGCAACTCTCGAGGCCAGGGGGTCCCTTTTTGTGCAAAGGACACGGCAACAGGCGAGGACGGCGGAGGCATGCTGGCGCCGTGCACCAGGAAAGGCATTCTAGAGCGGGAGAAAGGGAGGGCGGGAGAAGCTTGAGAATGGTAGTGCGGCCCGAAAGAGAGCCACAAAAAGCCGCGGGCAGCAATATGTGGGCAACTCTCGAGGCCAGGGGGTCCCTTTTTGTGCAAAGGACACGGCAACAGGCGAGGGCGGCGGAGGCATGCTGGCGCCATGCACCAGGTACTTAGGCTAGCCCATCACACTGGCTGAAAGCCGCATTGACTAAATTTTCACATAGCTTTGATCTGCTGAGCGACGTAGCGAAGCGAATCAACACTGAGAGCCATCCTGTCGCAGGCACATCTTAGAACATTGACGGGGGGCCGCAGCGATTTGCTGCGGACCTGACGATCTAGAGATGGGATGCCGAGCTCGCCAAGATGTCGTTTCCCAGATCGACAACAGAGCGAGTCGGCAGGCGAACAGATAGCAGAAAGAGAACTCATGTCCTTAACATGCCAGCTCACCAATCGAAATCTTCTCTTTACACGGCCAGCAAACATACATGCATCAAAAGCAGCAGCAGACGAACACTGGCTAACGAGAGCGGCGCAGGCTGGGACATCCCAGATAAAAGGCGCATCTGGATGACACAGCGCGGCAGGAACTTTATTACTGCTACATAGTGACAGAAGGCGCACGTACTGACTGCAAAATAGATTCGCAATGTGAATTGATCGACGTTGGGCGCTAGACAAAATCGGCAGGCCGTTGGGACGAGTTATGCTACGAACAGCGGGCTTCTGAGGAAGCCAAGTAGTCGTGTCGGGCTCCACCCACACGCGCGAAATGCAGCCTGCACGGATCCAGCCTAGCACACGCTTCATCACTAAAGGATCTGTGATGTCATCAGTGGCCTGGCGTCTCACGCCCAAGTGCAGCACGCCGAAGCCGAGGCGCTGCAGCGCGCGAGCCGCGCCGCCGTCACCGCCAATCACCAAGGCGGGCAGGTACCTGGACCGCGTCGCCGCGCGTCTGGCTGCACGCCAAATCCGTGTCAGGCGGAGGCCCACCGCGCTGCCACTTGCGGGGGCGAATGCCTGACCGCTGGCGGTGTCGGCGTCGCGGCAAGCGGCCGTCGCAGCGAGAAGACGGCCGTGGTGGTGGTCTGCAGCATGAGGTCGTTCATCAGCGAGTCCACCCCGTGCCCACGGCCGATCAGGATCTGGTCTAAAGTGGCAATCTGCTGCAGCACTCGAGCCCTCTTGGTGTGGCGGGAGAGGCTCGGGTCCGTTCTCCACTGGCCGCGGTCCTTGACCTCCTCCCTGGTGCGACGACGAGGTAGGCAGTCGTCGGCCGCGCCCCCGTGCCGATCCTCTGTCTTCCCAGGGCGATCGAAGCAGGCGCCGTAGACGATCAGGGCCAGACGTCCGTGTCCGAGAGTGGCATCGGGTCTTGGTCGAAGAACGCCGCCCGCTGACAGGCGATAGGCCGCGTTGGTCGTCGGGTAGGTGTCGATCATCAGCCTGATGAACACTGCCATGCCGAAGAGCTTCCACGAACCGAGGACGCCCACCATGGAGGCCATCGCCGCCCGTGGAAGAGAGGGTCGCATCTGCGGGGGCGCGAGCTTCCGCCAGCCTGTCAAGGCGCGAGCCGCACGCGTGGACAGCGCCGTGCCCGCCGTAGGCGGGCGCAGGTAGTGCTTCACTGAGGCGAGGAAGACTCGGCCCGTAGCATCGTCGAAACTGACCCGAAAGAGGTTCACGAAGTAGGTAACTAGGATGACAACGACCTTCGCCGCTGTGGTGACGGTCTGGGGCGTCTGGCGGCCCCACTCCTCGAACTTCTTGACCGCGCCCCAGTCGTTGACCATGGTCGTGTCCGACACGGCGGCTGACTCGACGACCGAGAGCGCTGCCTGCCCGAGCCGTTCTGGCTTTGGCGGCGTCTTGGTCCTCAGCTCCGTCGACGTCGAAGCTCGGTGGCGGCAAAGCTCGGGGGGCCGCCGCCTGGTACTCCTCAAAGGTCGGCCCGACAAAGAAGCCTGTCCTCGACGGCGAGTCCGCGGCATTGCTTTCGCTAGGGATCCATCGCACTGCGTGGCGAATGCCTGAGGCTGCCGACAGGGCGCAGAGGCGACGTGGCGGATCACGAAGCCCTCGGGCGCCAGAACGTCCCTTGCCAGCAGCGAGGGCTAGAGCCAAATTGTCGACGGTGAACAGGATGCGATGATGCCGAAGCCGTCCAGACCGAGCCGAGTGTCGCATCGCAAATCCGAGAGCCTCCGCCTCGTATCGCATGATGTCCAGACCGAACCTAGCATGACGTGCGCTGTGTATCGAAGCCCAGCCGTCGAGAGCCGTGATCGAGTCGGGAACCTCGTCGAAGCCGTCCAGCGAAACGTCGTCGAGCCCTCGATGTGATGATAATGCGGTAAGCGGGGGCTTGCTATGGGTCTCGGGAGGCCTCGGGCACTGCTCGCAATCTTTGAGGCAGTTTTTGCTCACGGCCGCTTCCAACACAACGTTCGGGTCGACTCCCAAAGCGTGCGCACGAGCGCGCACGGCATCGGAGAAGCGGTAGCGCCATCTCTCCGACAATCGCCCTGCGGCTGCAGCCACGTCCTGCTCAACGGTCTTGCGACAGACGCCAATGCCGTAGGGAGAGGCGTCGCTGCAGAAAGTGGTGGCCGCCCACTCTGCCCTGACATCAGCCCACCACAAAGGGATGAGGGAAGCAGCAGCGCGAAGCTCAGCGACGACTGACGGCCACAGCGGCAAAGCCCGACGGGAGTCCTGACCCATGAAGCGGTAGACTGCATGGAAGATCGACAGCATGGGCCTGTCGGTGATCATCCCCCAGGTGCAATGACCGACCACGGCGGACAGCGCAAGCGGCGACGCATAGCCTCGTCTGAGTAGACCGAGGAGGGCCTGGCGCAGCCTGCACAACCGGCCCACCTTGCACCTGATGACGCCCACGTCGCCCAGGATGTCGAGGCCTGTGAAGATGACGCGAGGCGCCGCGGGAGCGAACTCGTCCACGGGCAGGGCCCTCGCCACCAGCACGTCGCGGATGGCCTGGCACGAAGCGGTGGCAACCTCTGGATCGAGAGACACGGTGGCGAAGTTGTCCACGTAACCCGCTGCGATGATGTCGGTATCGTTTCGCAGAGGACGAGGTGCTGCACCGTCCACCAGCATCGCATCGTCATCGATCCCCGCGTCGCGAATGGCCGCGGTTAAAGCCGACTGGCAGAAGTGAAGAGCCCACGACCAACCCATCGGCATCACTGACACGAACGGCTGTAAAAAGGCCTTCGTAGGGATCTTGACACCATTGATCACCTTGAGACCCACGTACCGATTCGGGGCCACTGGCAAGGATAAGTATCGGTGCAGCTGGGGCGGCAGCTTCATGCGATAAAAGGCGCACTGGATGTCACCCTGCGCCACGTAGAAGTCATTCGACGCCTCGAGGGCACTCCATGCCGACGGAGTCGGCAATCTCGTAGAGGGAGGGGTAGAGAAGGACATGTTGGCCACCCGCGTATCAAAGACGAGCCGCAGGTTGACGCCATTCGACTTCTCGACGAAGAAGAAACCTGTGGAGTACGCCGCCTGACGTTCGGCGACTTCCCACTCTAGCACGCCCGCCTGATCCAGGCGCAGCAAAAAATCAGCATACTCCCGAGGGCGAAACCGCAGGCGAGGATCCACGTATGGCGACCCGATGCCCGGGTTCATCCTGAGAGCGGCTGTCTCCGCAGGGTCACGTAGCATTTGTTGCCTCCACCCTGACAACGTTGAACGATCGGCGTCGGACACGAGATCGGCCGTGGGAACGGGGGCCACGTGCTTCGGCCAGGAGACGAGCTCCTCGTCGTAGGGTCTCACCCGAGACTCACCAGAGTACCCCGGCGCCGACGCGAGCAACTCTGCTAGGGCTGCCTCGCATCTGGTAGGAGATTCGGAATATCCAGAGGGGAGTTCAAAATCGCGAAACTGCTGAGCAAGGCACTCTTCAGCGTCGCTGCGAGCGCGTGGAGGAAGACCTGGAGGCGGAGCAACCATGTCGTCAGGGTCGCAATGGTGCATGTCGTTGAGGGTGGACACAGCATCGTTGTACCACTCTCTCCAGGCAGCACCTTTTGCAGCCCGTCCGCGGGCTGAACCTCCCATCGACGCGATACCAGATCGCCGCTCCACAGGGATAGGACGGAGAGGGAAAATGTCTCGCTGCCGCCATTGATGAGCAGCGATGGGGCAATGCGCCTGACTGGCGCCACTGGAGCGCGCCCCGCAGCCAGGCCTGGACTTCTCAGACGTCATGGCGCCCGCAAGGCACGCTCCTCACGTGCCTTGCGACGTTCTTTGCTGATGGCGGCCTCCGCCCGCATCTGATCTGCAATGTACTCAAGCAGCTTCGGCGAGATGCACAGGTTCGCCTTGGAGACGCCCGCGCCGAGGAAGTAGCTCGTCTCGGGGATGCTGGAGGCCGCGGCCGTCGCACCACTCCTAGCTCCAGACTTGGCCTTGGGAGCGGCGGCCGTCTGGGGCAGCGAACGACTCTCGTACACCCGCTCCTCCAGCAGCTGGAGCTGACGTGCGACGATCTCGAACGACGCCATCTCTGCCACCTGCAACTGATCGTAGACCACGGCGAGGTCCAGGACCCGACACAAGGTCTCGTGGAGCTTGGCGTGCTCGTCGTCGTCGGCCAAAGCCATGGACGTGAGCCAGCGCTGATGCCACGCGGTGGGAGTTCCCGCCATGGTGGACATGAAGGACAGGCACCAGAGAAGCGTCCGTGGGCCCTGGACTGGCCAGCCCTGCACCTCGGTCTCGGAGAGGCCGTTCACCGTCTCGCCGAACCTCCGCTCACGCTCCCCCCGCAGGTTGATCGCCATCGGCAGCACCCTGAAATCGCCAGCGGGCGCGGGAAGCGGAGCGACCGCGGCAGGACCGCCAGCAGCAGCTCCAGGCACGTGCGCCAGCGGCGGCGCCGCGGCAGGGCCAGGTGGCACGGGTCCTAGCGCAGCGGCGAGCGCCGCGACTCCTGGGACGGCGCCAGGCGGTACGGGAGCAGCAGGACAAGCCGCAGGTGGAAGTGCGAGAGGCGGCGCCGGCGGCGCCGCGGCCGCGGCAGCAAGGTCGGCCAGAAGGAAGGGTCCTGGAGGCGCGCCCGCCGCGTTGGCCGCCGAGAGAGCCAGAGGAAGAGGATCTGGTGGCATTGGGTAGCCCGCAGCCACTGAGCGACCCACGGCGGCCCACAGCTCCGCGGCGGACGGCAAGCGCCGAAAGCGATGCACGGCGGCGCCGACCAGCGCGGGAGGCGTGTCGCCCTGGCCAGCCAACGGCAGCACCGCCCGCACGTCGGGCCCAACCACGATCGGCTCGTCGTAGTCGTCGAAGTCGGGCGTGACGACGTAGGCGAACCCCGCTGTGACCCCGAGTGCCAGACGCTCGTGCCACAGGGCCACACCGCCGACGCGGTAGCGTATGGCGTGGAAGCTCCCCGCCATCACTGCAGCGCTGGGGCTCTGGAGCGAGCGAGGCGCACCTGCTCGGCAGCGAAGACGGCGATGTCGATCACCTCCGTGGGCAGCTCGCCAACCGCAGGCTCGAGAGGCGGTGCGAGCGCGCGGCGCGCCAGGAAGGCGCCTGCCGCAGCGCCGACGGCGAGCCCGACCGTGCAGGCGGCCACCGCGTAGGCCGCCACGAGGCCCGCGCACGAGGGCTCCACCACCTGCCCGCCAGCGCCCGCGCACACGCAGGAAGGGCAAGCCAGGGCCGGCGGCGCAGGGCACGCCAAATGCGGGGAGCAGTCCCCGCAACTGGGCGCCGAAGCGCGCGCCACCAGCGAGGCCCCAAGCGCCTGCGCCCCAAACCTCAGGACGTCCGCTGCATGGTGGGCGAGGTCCTGCATTCCAGGTCAGGACACCTGAGAAGCTTGAGAATGGTAGTGCGGCCCGAAAGAGAGCCACAAAAAGCCGCGGGCTGATGATGACGATGATGATGCAAGAACGCGACGAGACGCTTTGGCCAGAGAAATGAGGCCAAGGATCCCCATGATGATGATGGTGGCGGTGGTGAGGAGGAGGTGGAGAAGGAGCATGAGGAGGAGGAGAAACCGCTCATCTCCCTCCTCGCACGCCTTCACGATGCGCGCGTTCTCCAACTTCTGCTCGCGTATGCGGTTGCGGAACCGGCTCTCGAGCTCCTCTGGCAAAACGGGGCAGCGCAAGACTGCTCGGAAGATGAGAGGCTGGACAAGAGGGAAACGATGGATGTGGAGATAAGACTGGATTCCCCCCTCGCCGAGACGAAGCATAAACGCCTAGCCGTGTAACGTGGAACTTTTGTGGCCTAGCTAGCCTGAGCAGAAATGGCGGCAACGCCGTTGGGTTTTGACACAATCATCCTGAGATCCTGGCCGCGCTTGTGCTGAGCTGAGCCTTCTGGGACCTGCCCTGCCTCAAATTAACTCCTGCTGCCTGTCCCAAGAGACGGAATTCCTGAAAAACCTCGGTTGCATGACGCCCTGTATAGGTGGACGCATCCAAACCGCTACATCAATGCATTGACTGGCCCAACCCGTGCCTCGACCCCGCCTCCATCGTGGCCAGCCTTGTGCGCTTCGGAATGTCCTTCAGGGAGGGCGGATGGTGTCCTCCAAGGAGTGGAGGGAGAGGAATGGAGGGCGGAAGGTGGATGGCGAGAAAGAAGGAGTCGACGGACAGGAGGATAGGAGAGAGAGAAGAAGGAGGATGACGAGAAGGAAGCTACAGGATGATGATGATGAGGGCAAACACATGATAAGAAGGATAACGAGGAGGAATAATACGAGGATGAACAGGACGCGGTGGCTTAGGAGGATGAGTGCGAGGAAACAGACGTCATTTCCCTCGCGATCCCCCTGGTGTCGAGCAAACCGAAGCACGACAAGGGAAGGGAGGATGATCAGTAAGAGAGCGAAAGGCACTGTGTGAACCATGGTAAGTAGAGCAGGCAGTGACACATCCGTCGAATGACGGGCAACAGCACGAACACATACGTGCACTCACACACGTATATGTGTATTTCTATATACACAAATGCATGCTTCCCACCACAATAGCGCCCCACCGCACCTTTGATTCCCGCCCGTCGTTCCGACCACTCCCACATCATCTCTCCTCCTCCTCCTCCTCCTCCTCCTCCTGCTCCTCATCTCCTGCTCCTCTCGCGGGGTAGTGCAGCCTCGGGCGGAAGGCGTTTGTAGTGGTACCGTTGCTGGTCCGTCGTCGTCCTCCTTCTCCTCCTCCTCCTCCTCCTCCTCTTCCGTTTCCTCCTCCCCCGTTCCTCCTCTTCCGCCTCCTCCTGTTCCTCCTCCCCCCCCAACTGCAGCACACCATGACTCCTCCTCCTTCTCCTTCTCCTCCTCTCTGTAGCAACGCGGAGCCACTAATAGACAGCGTCTGGTGATTTCGGTGCAAGGGAACGGATTTGGTGTTGTTGCTGTTGCTGTTGTTGTTGCTGCTGCTGTGGTTGTTGTTGTTGTTGTCGTCGTTGTCGTTGTCGTTGTCGTTGTTGTTGTTGCTGTTGTTGTTATTGTTGTTAGTGTTAGTGTTAGTGTTGCTGTTAGTGTTGGTGTTAGTGCTGTTGGTGCTAGTGTTGTTGTTGGTGCTGTTGGTGTTGTTGGTGTTGTTGTTGTTGTTGTTGGTGTTGCTGTTGTTGTTGTTGTTGTTGTCGGTGTTGATGTTGTTGTTGTTGCTGTTGTTGTTGTTGGTGGTGTTGTTTTGTTATGTCTTTTTTGTATGTGATGCAAGGAAGCACTGCGTATTGCTTCTGGGGGGGGGGTGCAGGCCCCAATGCTCGCCGCGGCCTCCCTCCCAACACCCTTCTCTAACCAACTAGCCAACACCACCTACATAGTAGTTGGCGCCCTCGGTGCAAGGAAACGCGGTCTGTTTTTATTGTTGTTTTCCCCAGCCATCCTGTGGTGTTGGGTCCTCGTTTTGAAGAAACGGTCCCCGCGTTCCTCCTTCCTTCCTTCCTTCCTCCTCCCTCCTCCTCCCCCTCCTCCTCCCCCTCCTCCTCCCTCCTTGCGTTTCACGCAACCAGTGCAGCGTTTCGTGGCCCCATAGGAAGCTCCACCGAAAGCCCCAGTGCCACCGCCAGCATGCGTTACCCACGCCCATGTCGGTACACCCCTCACACGTTTCGTGGCCCCATACGGAGTTCCACCGATAGCCCCAGTGCCACCGCCCGCATGCGTTACCCACGCACGTTTCGGCACACACCTCACACGTTTCGTGGCCCCATAGGGAGCCCCACCGAAAGCCCCAGTGCCACCGCCCGCATGCGTCCCCCACGCCCATGTCGGCACACCACTCACACGTTTCGTGGCCCCATAGGGAGCATACATATACGGGGGCACGAAGGGCAGCGAAGGGGCAACGAAGGGCTGCAACGGGGCCACGAAAGGCAGCGAGGGGGCCACGAAGGGCAGCAACGGGCCCACGAAGGGCAGCGAGGGGGCCACGAGGAGATGCAACGGGGCCACGAAAGGCAACGACGGGGCCACGAAGGGCAGCAACGGATCCACGAAGGGCTGCGAGGGGGCCACGAGGGGTTGCAACGGGGCCACGAAGGGCTGCGAGGGAGCCACGAAAGGGTGCAACGGGGCCACGACGGGCTGCGAGGGGGCCACGAAGGGCAGCAACGGGGCCACGAAGGGCAGAGAGGGGGCCACGAAGGGCAGCGAAGGGGCCACGAAGGGCAGCGAGGGGGCCACGAAGGGCCGCGACGGGTCCACGAAGGGCAGCGAGGGGGCCACGAAGGGCTGCAACGGGGCCACGGAGGGCAGCGAGATCTCGATTCCTAAATACTCTGTGAGGGAATCCTGTTCGTGAGCGCGACTCCTGGGTGCCTGGGTGTCGGGAGCGCGGCGCTTGAGGAAATTGCGAGAAATTCCAACGCAGGGGCGTTATCCTTGAATAAGTTGCAAGCGAGTCTCCAGCGAGAGCGCGATTCCAGAGCGCCGAGAGAACGATTCCTGAGTAAATTGCAAGGAAGTCCAAAGCGAGAGCGCGATGCCTGAATCAAATGCGAGGAAGTCTCGGGCGGGAGCGGGGGTCCTGGCAACATTGTGAGGAAGTCTCAAGCGGGAGCCGTTGTTGTTGTAACCCGGGGGCCAACAACACAATTTGAGAGGAGGCAGACTTTCCCTGATAAACAACCGGGTGCGGGCGCCGGGAGGGGCACTTCAATTGAAAACTATAATGTGCACTGGAAGGGGGGATCAACGATATTTTGTCTTCATCAATGAGAATTCAACAAAAACAATAACAACAACAATACTCATTTTAAGACTGTTCGCCCTTCTCTGCTCGAGTGTCCAATAACGCGTATTCCCCAAGCCCTCGATACCCGCCCTCTTCGTCTTCGATCGAACCCCCTTTGGGGGGTACACCTTTCTTCCCTGCAGGCCGGGCCCCGGCAAGCAGCGGGGCAGCCGCGGACCGTCGGCCTGGCCAGCGGCAGCGCTGATCGGCGGGGCGGCCGCGGACCGTCGATCCGACCCCAAGAGGGACGGACAGGGGACCGACCACGACGACGACGACGATGACGTCGACGACGATGGCGACGACGACCACGGCGACGACGAGCGAAAGCGAGAGCGAGAGAGAACGACAGCAGGGCCACGAAGGACACGAAGTAGGCCACGAAGAGCGACAACGGGGCCACGAAGGGCATGCGTATGGGGCCACGAAGGGCGCGAACGACCGGGGGCCACGAAGGGCAGATAATGCGGGGCCACAGAAGGCAGCGACGGGACCACAAAGGGCAGCAACTGGGCCACGTAGGACAATGAGGGGGTCACAAACGGCGACAGCGGGGCCACGGAGGGCATGCACATGACATGGGGCCACAACGGGCGCGACTCCTGGGTGCCTGGGTGTCGGGAGCGCGGCGCCTGAGCAAATTGCAAGAGATTCTAACGCAAGGGCGCTATGCTTCAGTAAATTGCAAGCAAGTCTCCAGCGAGAGCGCGACTCCAGAGCGCCGGGAGAACGATTCCTGAATTAATCGGAAGGAAGTCCAAAGCGAGAGCGCGATTCCTGAATCAAATGCGAGGAAGTCTCGGGCGGGAGCGGGGGTCCTGGCAAAATTGTGAGGAAGTCTCAAGCGGGAGCCGTTGTTGTTGTAACCCGGGGGCCAACAACACAGTTTGAGGATGAAGATTTCCCCTGATAAAAAACAGGGTGCGAGCGTCGAGGGATACACCTTGATAGAGAAAAAGCAGTATGCACCGGTGGGGGGGATCAACAAACATTATTCTTCAGAAGTGAGAGTTCAACAACAACAACAACAACAACAGCAACATCAACAACAACAATACTTTCTACTACTGTTCGCTCTTATCTGCTCGAGTGTCCGCCAACGTGTATTTCCCCAACCCTCCATACCCGCCCTCTTCGTCTTCGATCGTACCCCTTTCGGGGGGTAGATCTTTCTTTTCTGCAAGCCAGGTCCCGGCAAGCGGCGGGGCGGCCGCGGACCGTCGGCCTGGCCAGCGGCAGCGCTGACCGGCGGCAGCCCGACCCCAAGAGGGGCGGACAGGGGACCGACCACGACGACGACGACGATGACGGCGGCGACGACGACCACGGCGACGACGAGCGAAAGCGAGAGCGAGAACGAGAGCGACAGCGGGGCCACGAAGGGCAGGAAGGGGGCCACGAAGGGCGACAACGGGGCCACGAAGGGCATGCGTATGGGGCCACGAAGGGCGCGAACGACCGGGGGCCACGAAGGGCAGATAATGCGGGGCCACAGAAGGCAGCGACGGGGCCACTGAGGGTACCAACGGGGTCATGTGGGCAGCGAGGGGGCCACAAAGGGCGACAGCGGGGCCACGAAGGGCATGCATATGGGGCCACGACGGGCGCGAACGAGCGGGGACCACGAAGGGCATACGTATATTGGGTCGCAGAGGGCAAGGACGGGGCCACTGAGGGCAGCAACGGGGCCACGAAGGGTAGCGAGGGGGCCACGAAGGGATGCAACGGGGCCACGAAGGGCAACGAGAGGGCAACGAAGGCCTGCAACGGGGCCACGACGGGCTGCGAGGGGGCCACGAAGGGCTGCAACGGGGACACGAAGGGCAGCGAGGGGGCCACGAAGGGCAGCGAGATCCCGATTCCTAAATAAGCTGTGAGGGAGTCCTAAGCATGAGCGCGACTCCTGGGTGCCTGAGTGTCGGGAGCGCGGCGCTTGAGCAAATTGTGGGGACTTCCAATGCAAGAGCGCGATTCTTTAGTAAGCTGCAAGCAAGTCTCCAGCGAGAGAACGACTGCAGAGCGCCGAGAGAGCGATCCCTTAACAAAGTGTACGGAAGTCCCAAGCGCACCAAGCGTGAGTGCGATTCCGCAATAAAATGCGAGGAAGTCTCAGGCGGGAGCGGGGGTCTTGGCCAAATTGTGAGGAGGTTTCAGGTGGGAATCGTTGTTGTTGTTGTTGTTGTAATCCGGGGGTCAACAACACAGTTTGAGCCCCGTGACTACAGGGTGAGAGCCCTGGGGGAAGCACCTCAATTGAAAAACAAAATGGTGGTCACCGGAGTGGAGGGGATCAACAATCAATAGTGAGAGTTCAACAACATCAACAGCAGCAACAACAACAAAAAAAAACACAACATTAACAACAACAACAACAACAACAACAACAACACCAATACCAACACCAACAACAAACACAACTACACCAACAGCAAGGTCAACACTCACAATGCGGGCCCGGTCCACGGAGGAGGAGGAGGAGGAGGAGGAGAAGGAGGTGGATGAGGAGGAGAAGGAGGAGGAGACCTGGTGCTGCAGTCGGAGGAGGAGCAGAGGAGAAGGAGGAGGAAGAGGAGGAACGGGGGAGGAGAAGAAAAAGGAAGAGGAGGAGGAGGAGGAAGTGGAGGAGGAGGAAAAGAAGGTTCTGTGGTTTTGGTGGTTGGGGGGCTGCTGGGGGGGGGGCGACCACATACATATACAGATCTACATATACATGTGTATAGCAGAGGTTGGGGATGAGATCGAAGTGGAACAGAGAGTCCCCCACCGGGAAGTCGGTTTCGGTTTCGGGTTCGTGTCGTGCGTGCGAGGCGGAG